AAGAACACACCACAGCACACGGGGAGCAGCACCTTACCCCAGGGAGTGCTCAAAGCGGTTGTGAGAGGCCCCTGGAAACACGAAGTAGGTCCCGCCCAGCTGCTTGATGTAGCGCAGGCGCTGGAACTGAGGGGTGTCGATGATCCGAACCAGCAGGGGATGCAACTCAATGTGCCCATGGATAGGATCGTTAAAAACCTACAGAAGCAAGAAAATAATTAAAAATTAAAATTTGACTTTGAAAGGATGCAGGCACCAAGGTAAAGGATATCTAGAATGGTCAGGTGTTTGGTTGGAGAGATTGTTCATCTTCTGTAAAACAGACATATCCTGTCAACTCTATATCAAAATCTATCACAGAATCATAGGAAGTTTGGGGTTGGAAGGGACCTTAAGGATCACCTTATTCCAACATACTGCCATTGGCAGGGACACCTTCCACTAGACCAGGCTGCTCCAAGCCCTGTCCAATCTGACCTTGAACACTTCCAGGCATCCTCAACTTCTCTGCACAACAAAATTTGTCTTGGAAAACTTCTAAAGCTTGACACCAAAAAGATAAAACTGCCTATTTCACATAGCAAGAGAAGTCAAAATGCCTAAAAATGTTATCTCCAACTGTGTCAATCCAAAACTTAACACCTGTGAAAACTGCTGTCTTTATTAATCTCCTATTCCAATTAAAGCAGCATACTGCAATGCATGTCTGAGATATCCAAAAGTGGTTGCCCAGATATTGTTCATGCTTTTAAAATCAAATGCAATATTGCTGGGTGGAAATTATGATTGTCACTTTTTTCTTAAAACAAAATATAAACCCCCAAAATGACCACAATATGAAATAAGTACTTCCTGATGAGCACATATTTTTAGAGACATCTCAGTAACTACAGGGACTCAAGTAGAAAAGGCAAACACATTTAATCTTTAACCTTTGCTGTTAAACTGCAGGTGAAACCATTCCATCACACACATATCCTGGTAAAATACTGAGGCAAACAAGGGTTACCTGTGCTCTCTAGCCCTGGTCACTGAGCTGGGAGGGCTGTAGCAGATATGCAGACTACTACTGAACAGCCCTGGCCAGTCAGAGCAACACACACCTCTGGGAGAAACAGCTGGACACAGGAAACATGACAGCAAGGAGGAGTCTGTCAACTCAGGCCTGGGGAAAAACTAATAAAATAAACCAAGGAGAGGCTCTGCACAGAGGGGTGTGAAAGGGAGCTTCTCCAACACGTCAAACAGCTCTTCTGCCCATTTAATCCCTCACAACGTGGAGGTGCCCACTGAAAGCTCCCACATGATGATTCTATTATTTCTTCTAGTTAATGTGGTTTTTCACAGACCACCACCACCAAGGGCCCAGAGTTTGCTGCTGTGCAAAGGAAAGGCACCAGCTGGCAGCACCAAGCCAAGAAGGGGGAGGCAGAGAGAGGGAGCAGAGCCCTGTGCAGGCCTTGGGGCAGGAGCTGGCCATGGTGTCCCCATGGCATGGCTTACCTTCATCACCTCCATGTGCTGCTGTTGCATCTGTGGCAGGCACGCCAGCACTTCCAGTCGCTCAGCTGGGCAGCTAGCAAGGAAAAAGAGACACTGAGAGCAAAGTCTGCAATGCATGTCCCTTTACAATTTGCAGTACACATGGAATTACTCATGCACATTCACATTACTTTGATGTTCCTTGATGGAAGAAGACTGCAACTGCAATTTTTTCAGAAAAATATTGAAAGGATTTATCTTTCTAAAATCAAGTACAGAAAGAAGGAAACAAATAGCTACAGAACATGTCTGTAGAGCAGCGTAAGTGCTTCTCCCACTCACACAGAACTGAGAAATAAAACCACCAGGAAACTGATGAAAAAATTGTGTAAACCACACCTAGTGTCCTTTAAACTTATTCAGATGCTGCACGTTGCTTTCCCATAACTGACATTTTTTAAAGATGCAAAACTTCCTTAAACTAAAACGTCAAAGTCCCAACAAATTATTTTTATAAAAATTTCTCGTAGTTAGTCAACCATCTGTTTGAAGTTTAATTTTATCAAATTACCTTGAATTTTACATAAATTAATTTCAACTCCAGCAGCAAAACCACTGCAGTTTAAATTTTGCTGAGACTGATTCTTCTATTTTGCAAAGATATTTTGCTGTCATTTTTAATAAATTATTAAACACAGCTAAACAACACAGCTAAACTTCCAGTGCAGATTCTCTGCTGCAGCCACAGCAGCCTAAGAGCACAGGTGGGATAAGTCTGGAGAGAGATAATAGGCCTATCACATCTACTTTTACTAACTCTGTCTGCAAGCTTTGCCCTTGAGCTAAATGGATTCAGCTTCTGTAGGACAGCAAACACTACCATGAGAAAATAATTTTCTCCCAGCAGTTAACCACTGAGATCAGTTTGATATCAGTCTTTCAACAAAAAATTTAACACACAATAAGGCTATAAAGTGTCAACGATTAGGAAAAAGTACTGCTTGATGGTATTATTGATGGTATATTCTCATCTGAATCATTTAATAATTCACAATCCCTAAAATACCAAAGGCATGTGATGTTTGAGCTGTTGGTGAGCAGAGTTTCTCCCAACCACTGGGTGCTGCTTTCCCTAGCAGGGAGCTCTGGGGCTGCAGCTGCTGCTCAGATGGCACAAGGCAGCGCTGGAGCACCTCTGCTGTGCACACAGGCTGAGGGAGCCGGGCTGCTCAGCCTGCAGAAGGGAAGTCTGCATGGAGACCTCCCTGAAGCCCCCCAATACCTTAAGGAGACCCATAAAAGGAGGGAGAGGGGCTTTTAGAAGAGCAGATACTGTCAGAACAGGGCTGACGGTTTTAAACTGACAGGCCAGGGTCAGGTTGGGTATTAGGAAAAAACTGTTCCCTGTGAGGGTGCTGAGGTCCTGGCACAGGCTGCCCAGAGCAGCTGGGCACCCATCCCTGGAAGTGTCCAAGGCCAGCTTGGACAGGGCTTGGAGCAGCCTGGGATAGCAGAAGGTGTCCCTGTCTGTGGCAGGGGTCTCAATGAGATGATCAAAAATGTCAACCCAAACCATTCCACAATTCCAAGATGAAAAGCTCCCTTGGTGATGCCCAGACAGCATGTGTTCCATGATATCTGAGGGCAAAGAAATCAACACTGTGAGCAGCAGCTATTAAACTAAGATAATGAATGCTTTTAACAACTTATTTTTCACACAGAATCACAGAATTAACCAGGCTGGAAAAGACCTTTGAGATCATTAAGTCCAACCTATGACCTAACATCACCTTATCAACTAAACTATGGCACTAAGTGACATATCCAGTCTTTTTAAATACCCCCATGGATGACTCCTCCACCTCCCTCCTGGGCAGCCTATCCCATCCCAATGCCCAATCACTCCTTCTGTTAAGGATTTTTTCCTAATGTCTATAGCCTAACTTCATCCTGGCACAGCTTGTGTCCTCTTGTCCTGTCACTTGTTGCCTGGGAGAAGGTTCCTCCTGTCAGGGAGTGTAAGGTCTCCCCTGAGCCTCCTCTTCTCCAGCTAAGCAACCCCAGCTCCCTCAGCCACTCCTCATAAGGCTTCAGTTCCAGACCATTCACCAGCCTTGCTGCCCTTCTCTGGACATGCTCCAGCACCTCACCATCCTTCCTAAACTGGGGGGCCCAGAACTGGACACAGCACTCACGGTGTGGCCCAACCAGCACAGGGGAAGAATAGTTCAATAGTTCTGCTGGCCCCACTATTTGTATTTTAATATGCTCTGTTCAGATCTGTCATCTGGCAACCCTTTGTGCCCCACACTGGGCTCCAAGAAGGATTGTTGTGCATTAACCCCAGACAGGAGCTCAGTCCCACACAGCCACTCGCTGCTCTGGTGGGATGAGGAGAAGAACTGGGAAAAGGTCAGACCCTGCATGGTGGATCCTGGTGTGACCAAGTGCCTGGATGCCCCACCTTCCCTGCTCTTCATCCTCCTTCAGATAGAAAACAGCTACAGGGCATTTTTCACCTGAAGTCTGCAAGGCCAGACCCCCTAAGCAAGACAAGTCCTGTTAATACAGAAAACTGTAGTTCTCCAGGACTCTGCACTTCCTCTAACAGCCAAAGCAGCGTTACTGATGGCTGCCTGGAAATGGTGACAACTGGCACTTCCTCACCCACTCCCCTCCCTGCTTGGTCCAGACCCCTTCATACCACAGGTCACAAGGACCAGAAAATCCCTTTCCTGTGCCCAAAAAGGTCAGACAGCCAGCCCCACTCATCATCTGTGTTCAGTGCTCTGTACATCACACAAAACATCCATTGCCAGCAACATGAGAACACCTGGGAATCTCACTGCCCTTCCTCCAGGCACCACTGGCCCCAGCTCTCCCCTCTGAACATCCAGGACCCCAGGGAACTAAAGACATGCATTCATTAGTGGCTTGTCACAGAGAAATGACCCAACTTACTGCAGGACAGTGTCCAGTGGACAGCAAATGAATTGTTCTTAGTGCAAAGTGAGAGACGTTGACAAAGAACAGAATGCTTGAGCAATTTCTCATCCAACTCTCAACAGTTTCAGCTTAATAGAAACAAGATGTCAGATCTCAGAGAAGGAAACATATACAAAGTTAACAATATCTTATACAAAGAAAATCCACACACAAGCCACCTGTAAACCCAACACCATCCGCTCTCCACATCAACTGAGAGGTCTCCACAGTCCTGTGTCCCCATCACCTGCATCCCGTGCTGAGGGACCCTGGCTACCCCATCCTGCTGTCCAGTTCAGCACTGACAGACAGTCTCTGACCCCCCCACACTGGCTGCACATGTCCAGTGTGTCCTGGACACATGATGTCCCTTCCCTGCTAGAAGCAATCGGCCTCCAGGCAAATCCTAAATAAAACTAGACATCAGCTTGTCATTTCAGTCAGGCAATTACCTGGTACTTCAGCAATGAACAAAGCCTTCAGCTGCCTTCCACGACATCACAGCATTTCTATCTGCACGCTTCAAACCCCTCTTCCACAAAAAGGGAAATCAAAGATACCTTAATGACTCCAGCACGTCTTACCTCGTCCAAAGCACAGCACTTCTGCCTTGTCCCACTGCGTCACGCCAGCTTTTTATTCTCTTCTAATACTCATGCCCAGACACCCGCCCATTCCCACTCCCCTTGGCACGCTGATGTCTCAATAAAACAGAGGAAGAGCCCTTCATCCTCAGCATGAGCTCAGAGGAGCCTTCAGCCAAGGTGCCAACACCAAAGTGCTCCAACCCCCAGCAGAAAGCACAGCTCTGCACTTGTGTGCACCTGCCAGATTACACACCGCAGCCTACCTCGGGGCTACCAACCACAACAGCAGCAAACAGCTGGAGCCAGCACGTGGGTTTTGAGACAAATTTGAGGGAAACAGTATAAACAAGGTTAACAAAGGAGTAAAGAAAAGACATTGCAAGACTAAAAACCACCAGGAAGTATGTGGTGAGCAAGCAGGCTCACATCCCAGTAGAGGGGAGCAAAAGAGGATCCCTGGGGCGGGGCAGAGAAGGGGCAAAGGGGCCTTTCCAACACACAGAACAGCAGGACAGATTCATACTCTTTGCTGTTCCAGAAAAGCAAGAAAATATATTTACCACCAGAAAGATAAAAGGGTTTTGGGTCCAGTCGTTGCTCACTGTTGGGAACAATCCTTTATGCACTTTAGAACAGCAGCCAGTGTCCCCGTGTTTGTGGCAGGTGACCATGACCAGCCGGGCTGCCTGCTCTGGGCTGCTCAGGGCAGCAAGGACTCGGCCACTCACCCACAGGCCGAACACACCACAACACTTCTTTTTGCACAGCAGCCCACGCTGCTGTCGGCACAACAGACAGCCAAGTGCTGCAAGGCTGAGCTGTCAATGCCCGGGATTTCTCCAGGGGACACGGGTGACACTCGGCCTGTGCCGGGCAGCACCTCCCGCTCTGTCAAACACCGGGGCCGCTGTCGCTCCTGGAGCTGGAGCAGCAGCAACTTCAGGCAGAAAAGCTCCTATCAGAACCCCTGGAGCTCACTCCTGCGTTCCCAGCAGCACTCCAAAGGTCACTGTGCTACCCCAGGGGATTTTCATTAAACTTTTCTAAAGGATCGAGGTTATTTGGGCAGCAAGAGTCCGCGCCGCGGTTGTGCTGGGATCAGCCGGAACTGCTCCGAGGGTTGGGGATCAGCCCCACGGAGCCGTTCC